ATCACATTGAATAATGTTTCCAACCGAGACAATCTTTTTAACTTTTGTTGGGTATATTTTTGGTCTGCATAAATACCTTTACTTCTATAATTAAACACTCTTATTCGATTCTGTCCCAGTGGACAGCGCTCGAGTGCTCTTACAAGCTTCTTCACAAGACAAGAGTTACATCAATGCCTCATTCGTTGACGTAAGTGCAAAAATGACCCTTTTTTATTTGGTTATGGTATATTCTGTAATTCCAACATTTTGATCAGAAAAGACTCAGAACTTTCAGGTTATTTACAATCTAAATGTAAATGTTTATTTTAATTTTTTTCCTTCTCGAGTTGTGGTGGTCTTATTCTTTTTCTGCTAATATACTCGTGCTGCTCAAATTGACTTCCATATTTTCTTTTGATCTTTTATTTATCAGGACTACAAACAACGTAATGCATACATCCTGACTCAAGCGCCATTAGATAACACTATTTTAGACCTCTGGCAAATGATTTCTCAATATGATATTGGCACAGTTGTGATGTTGAATAACTTGAAAGAGGGAAAGCAGGTAAGGTCATGACATGTTTCTAAAGAAGCGCGAAGCAACACGCTTCACTCTTAGCAACGGAGAAGTCATTTAGTTAACTTAAGATAACTTAAAACATTTTGAGAGACGAAACAGCCTTTTGGCATCCTTCATCGTCAATAGAAAGTAATATTTTACAACGACTGTCCGAATGATTATGCTCTCAAATGTCATACTCTAGAGGTGGAACACTTTACTGGAAAATCCTTCCCACCTCTTTTTAGATTCCTATCGTAATTTTAAATATATCCAGTTAATGGTATCACCAAATCTCTTAGTAGCACTGCTTTTGTCTTTATAGAACTACCCACAATACTGGCCAAGCAAGGAATCCGCCAAGTATGGGGAAGTCACCGTCCAGCTTTTGTCTCAAGAGACTTCTAACAATATCACTACCCGACGATTCAGCGTAGAGAATGCAGCGGTACGGTTCGCTTGTTTTAGAATTTTTAGATCCTCTTTTATCTGATTACTTTCAGGGCTCGACACTAACTTTTCAACCTACTAGCCAAGTGGCTGGTGACATCTTAGTTGGTTTACCAGCCAAACTGGCTGGTGGAAATCGAAATCCACAAGCCAAAACTGAATTTCTACTAGGCTGTGGCTAGTGGGCTATAGCTACCGTTAGTGTCGAGACCTGACTTTGGGGGGAACCTTTACTATAACAATAGGAAGTGTTTGTACGTTTTCGATGCGCAGGAGTTTGACCTTAACGCTTTCACAATCAGGGGAGACCAATGAAAAATTTTTCATAACATCATCTGTGCAGTGTCTGGTAGAAAGATGATCAGTAGAGAGGAAAATATTTAGTAGACGATATTGTTTGATTTACCATCAGATTTTCTGAACTTTTGTATGACTATGGAATCCAGCGGTGGAAGTCTTTCTTTTCTTCTTTTGCTTCTTTATTTTTCAAAATTCAGTGTTTCATTCCTCGTAATGAAATTAATCCTGCGTGGAAAATTGATTTTTTTAAAAGGGGTATCCACTGTA